GCTGCCTTCCGGTTTGCTTTGTTTCTGCAGCGCTGTTCCTGTTGATTTTTGTATGTCGCTGGCGTTGGTTTTTCCCCGAGCTTCCGAGCTGCCGAGCTGCCGAGTTGCCGAGTTTTCCCTGGGCATGCTCCTGTTTTTGCCGTGTTTTTAAGGTTCTCCGCATATTTTTTGGCTTCGCCCTCTGTGCGCTAAGTACAAGCCTCTTCTGGCAGCTTTCGGGCGCCTTGCGAGCGTCAAATGCGTAAGAAGAATTATAACCACATTTTCCCTTTTCGGCTTGCGCTCCGACGGATTTGCACGTTGCCTTTGGCCTGCTTAACCATCCGGCTATGTCGTGCACCTTCCACCCGCCACTCCCCCCACCTGCTCCTTCCACAGGATCTGGAGTTTGATACCGGGATTGCCGTGTCCCGCGGCTGGCGTATTGCTTACAAATTGTCCGTCTCCTCGCCAGCGGCAATATTTTCTGATGCAATTTCTGCCTTTGATGTCGCTCATACGCCGTGTTGCACGTGGGCCTCCAGGATATGCTTCTTCCCTCATTTTTTCGGCAGGAACAGCGGCATCCGCTCGGATGTTCATGCTGTATTATTTACCAGAGACAGTCCCGCTCTTAATATTAAATACAATCCATTCTTGCCTCCTAAACTGATTTTGTGGGTTCATTTTGTAAGCCACTAAAAGTGTAACAGAAGAAGGTTATACTAATCAAGTTATTGAGTAAATTCGCTTGCCGATCTCTTCGGAATTAGGGCTAGAGCGTATTAGCTCGTCGAGCAGTGCGTCGCACCTTTTCCACCTGTTTTTTAATTCTTTTTTCTACGAGTTAAGCGGCCCTTGGCTTTTGGCTTAACGTGTTTACCTTTGCCATCCGACACCCACTAGCTTTCGCTGCCCGGCTTTGTTTTTGACTCGAATTCTCGTTTTGTTTCCCCCAAGTTTTTTCCTCACAAAGAACGCTACTGCTGATACAATTGCAAAGGTAACAACAAAATAATAAAACAGAGCGCACATAGACCAGAACAAAAGGAGGAAAATAACACAAAGCGTTGGGATTGATTGAATTCCGAATTTTTAAGCATTTCGCCGCAGTCCAAAATTTGTTAGTCGAACTGCAGGACCGAGTGCACGGAACTGAAAACTGCTCAAAAAACGGGAAACCCCTAAAAAAAAACAAAAAAAAGGGAAACGCTATAAATATTTCACGAATTTTTTTTCAAGCACAGAGAAATTTAACTTTAAAGCTGATCCTCAGGCTAATCGGAAAAAAAGAATTTTTGTGCAAGCGAAAACGTTTTGAGGTGAATAGCTAAGAAATAACTTTAATATGTACAATAAAGGTTATCTTAAATGCTTTTACCAAAAGCAATTTTTAAAACGCCATTTCACTCACCATTCCAAAGCAAAAATACAATCACCGCTCTTTAAATTTTATAAAACAATATATATAAATATTAATTCATGTTCCTCAACTTTTTGGTCTACTCGTTACTCCAAACAAGAAATGAAGCTAGCTTCGGCAATCCAAAGCTTATATACCCTTGCAGTCATCAAATATGTCGATCAAAATGCATAAGGGCTAAACAACATCGAAACTATGACGATTTTTCTATTAATTTTCCATATTTTCGACTATATGATATAGCTGTACGATTTTGATGAAATTTAAATCTATATTTCTATATAGATTTTTCGAGATCTCCTATGGCCGCTATATGATAACGTTGTCGGATTTTAATGCATTTTTTTTGGATTCAAGGGTTATTAAAAAACTCCATGTTTTGAAAATCATGCTCGTGGGATTAAAAACAACGACGTTATAATTTTTTTCATTATTTATATATATTTTTATACCCTTGCAGAGCAAAAGGGTATTATAATTTCAGTCAGAAGTTTGCAACGCAGTGAAGGAGACACCTCAGACCCCATAAAGTATATATATTCTTGATCAGCATCACGATCAGAATCCAAATATGCATGTACGTCTGTCCGTCTGTCCGTCTGTCCATCTCACAGTGGTCGGTCCCATAGGCCAAAAATCAAAAAATCAATTTTGGAATTTTGATTTCAAGTTTGGCGCATCTGTTTATCAATAGAACAAGGCTTTAAAAGCAAGTATTAGTTTTGTCTTGCTCCACATATTTGCGGAGAAATTGGGGCGCAAAGTGAGCGCGCAAACCCAGCGATTGACTGAAAGCGTGCGCATGTCTTTTGAAAGCGTTAAGTTAATAATTAAAAAAAATATAAAACAATCGTTTAATATCCGAAAGTGAAATGAATATTAAAGTTGAAGGTTTGTAGATTGTGTTTTTATAATTTTTATTAATTTTGCATGCTATATGTGACTGTGACAATAATTGTTTATCCACCGCAATTTTACAAGTTCTGCAGAACTAAACATCAATATTCTGCAAAGGTAAAAGTTGTGTTCCCAAAACTTCTCAATAATGAAATTTTTTTTTAAATGTTAATCAATATTTAATTAGTATTATCTGTAAAAATCAGCTGCGAATAGCTGCGAATCCGTTCAGAATCTGTTAAAGAAGACGAGTACCTCGTTCCTTTTTCATCAGTTTTTGATTTTCTAGAGTAGCCATTTTTAATATATATTGAAAAATTTATTTTTTATTACTTTTATATTACTTTAAATTTATGTTAATCATCGTTTTTTGTTATCTTTTGTTAATTTTTTTAACCAAAATTAAGTGTTTAATAAATATAATTTTTGTCAGTTACGCTTAAAAAAAGTGTAGTATGCATTTGGGAGTCAAATTTTGAACATTTTATGGTAAACACGATGGTAGCGGATATATTTGGCTTTGATGGTGCTGATACTTAAAATATAACATTCATACGCTATTATATACCTACAAAAAAAATTTCAACTCGATATTCCTACTGGAAGTATTTTTGGCCGCCTTCTCCATATAAGACCGACCACTGTGCATCTGTCCGTCTGTCCGTTTCCGCGCAAACTAGTCTCTCAGTTTTGAAGCTATCTTGATGAAACTTTCCCAAAAGTTGTGTAGCTATTGCACGCAGTATATAAGTCGGAACGAGCCGGATCGGCCGACTATATCGGATAGCTCCCATATGAGAGAATGAAATAAAAAATTCTCACGCCGTTGTTTTTGATCAGATCGATTTCAATTCTTTAAGATGGCGTTTTCTAACTGTTATTGAATTTCGGATTAAATTTGATCAAAATCGGATAACTCTATCATATAGCTGCCATAGGAGAGATCGAAAATTATATATAGAATTAATGGAAATAAATTGATAACATCGTTGTTTTTTATCCCACGAGCATGATTTTTTGAATATCAAGTTTTTTAACAACGTTTATATTGGAAAAAAAGTTTCATAAAAATCGGTCATCTATATCTTATAGCTGCCATAGGAAAGATCGAAAAATCTATATAGAAATAATGGAAATAAAATTATAATATCGTTGTTTTTCATCAGACAAGTATGATTTTTGGAATATAGAGTTTTCTTACGACTCTTGAATTACGAATTAAATTTGATCAAAATCGGACACCTATATCGTATAGCTCCCATATGATCTATAGTCAAAAATATGGATAGAAAAATCGTCTTAGATTCGATGTTGTCTAGCCTTTATGCGTTTTGTTCGACGTATTTGATGACTGCAAGGGTATATAAGCTTCGGCTTGCCGAAGCTAGCTTCCCTTTCTTGTTTTTGATCTTTTGTATGGCAGCTATATGGTGGAGTTATCCGATTTTGATAAAATTTTATCCGAAATTCAATAGTGGTTAGAAAACGCCATCTAGAAGAAATCAAGTCGATCTGATCAAAAACAACGGCGTTAGAATTTTTTATTTCAATCTCTTGTATGAGAGCTACCTATATAGTCACGCGATCCGCCCCATTCCGACTTATATACTGCGTGCAATTCGTCTTCTCTTTTCTGGCCAAAATTTTAATACCCTTTGCTCTGCAAGGGTACCAAAACAGAATGGAAAGCAATTTCGTCATGTCTAAAATGTTTTCCATATGCAGATGTACAGAAAACTTAAAGTAATGAATGTGTTTGAAGAAATCATTTTAATTTGTTTAAGCTAGAGGTTAAGGTCCTGAATTGTGTATAAATTGTGTATAAAAGACAACACAAAAAAGGGCCATTGCTGTGCTCCTATTTAGATCAACGAGACCCTTTTATTTTCAATAATGGTGTTAATAAAATTCCAACTGTGTGGGTCAGCTATCTAAAAATCTGTGAACATCCCACTATGTTCTTATCGGGTAAATTCCGCTTCTTTATTAACTTTTTGTATCTTTATATCATTGCAACGTTGTGTATGGCTATTTAAAAAAACCTAAGCACCCATTTTAGATCGTAAAATTAGTCATCGCACCTAAATTTTTCAAAAATGTCTTGATAAGTATATCTCGAATATTTAACAACTCAAATTTTAATACACTCTGCAAGAACATAATGAGAACGGACGTAATCTTAACCTTGCAGTCAAAATGTAAGTTTAGAAAACGACAATTCATTTACAAATTAGATTGAAAAAATATATTTATGCAAATGCCATACAAGTAGTTCCCATTAAATTGGCTAATGCCGTCTTTATAATGCCATCTTTATAGATTTGCTTCGGTTTTTGATTTAGACTTACGGCTTTGAAAATTAATTTGGAAAACTCATATTTTGTGAGCAATAATTACAAAAACAATTAAAATGGCAAAATTCTTAGTCTGACCTTTCACAATGTAATGAGTATATGCATATAGTTATCTATCATCAGCTATTATAAATATATTTATGACTAACTGAATGTTTCCGAGACTCCTCCCTAAAATTACCTAAGGAAAAGTGTATAAATCGAGGTATCTGATGCCTACAAGTATCGAATTGGGAAGTCAATAAAAACGATTCACCTTCGATAGCTGTTTATTTGGATGAAATAAGTTGAGACTTTGTCAGCCCTATGTTCACGTTCAATGCCTTTCTGTTTTGTTTTCTTTTCAGTACCCGAGCCAGAGAGTCCAAGGTAATTGAATAAACGATCCTCAATCACGAGTCAATGTGTGTAGGTGAGTACAGCACTCAAACGACGACCCTTTCCCTGCTGTTGACCAAGTCCAAGACGCCGAGATGCACTATCAATTTTCACAGGGCAGAAGTAGCTAAAAAGCACTGAGAGAAACAGGGAAACATTTTGGAAGAACTTGAAATTGAATGGAAAGAGAGGTTTTCTCGAGAAGGTTGCATTGAAACCATCTCACAATGAGTTGAATATTAAAGGCGATATACAAATAAAAGCTACAAAGAATTCCAAGAAATGTTTCAGACTGGATATTACTCTGGCAGTGTATCTGAAGAATAAGAATAACTGTTGAGCGAGACAGGCGAGAAAGAGAAGTGGCATAAAAAAGAAACAAAAGGCGGCGGGGGCCAAGAAAAGCTAAAAAAAAAGAGTGTGAAGAGGACTCGTGCATATTGAATTAAGCGACAAGTGCAAGCAAGTTTGAGGCTTTTTAAATTGTTTGCGTATGTGTGCGAGGCTCTTGCCAGAAGCGCTCGTGTGTGAGTGAGTAAGTGAGTAAGTCTATATGTATGTGTGAGTGGGGGCTATTATTTTGTTATAACAATGGCGAAAGTTTCGAGCAATGGCCACAAGCTGAAGCATCAGTGGAAAGCCCCTTCCACCAGCCATCGCCTCAAGTGCACCGAACACTTAACACAATCAATACACGCACACTCACACACACACACACACGCACGTTGGGAAATCGAGAGGGGAAAATGAGTTAATGGAAATTCTTAGCAAGTATTGTGATTTGACAGCTGCTTGTAAACTTGCGAGCGAAGTACGGCTACACGGAAAATCAAGATCGGTCCAAGAGGCTATCGAGCTTAATCGGAAAACGCCACTTTCTAAACTCAATAACTTTTTATAAAGGATTCCCTAACTAACTACTATGATTTCATAGAAAAAGATATTTTAAATTAAGTTTATAAAGCACAGTGCTTAAAATACTAGTAACATTGTATTTATTTAGGAGTAGTAATTGATAAATTATTTATTAGTGATTTTTTCCAACAATTATTTTTTTTGAGTATTCGAGTGATGGCTAACGCGCTGATGATGGTGAAAATGGAGTCGGAAAGAAAAGGGTGCAATAGCACAAAGGACGGCCAAAAACTGACAGTTTAAGGAAGCTGGTCTCCTTTTTCAATTGAATCTCGCCAAGGAAAACTCTCGAAGGGAGTTTTCTTTTGTGCCGAGAAAGGAGAACTTCAGTTCAACTTGAAAAACGGCAAGTTTCTGAGTGTGAGTGCTCCATTTCCCCTTGGAAAACTTGGGGCTTCCCAGGCGACCGTGTGCGGTGTTTGTTTGTCTAATAAAAGCGCTCCCAATACACAAACGCATCATTATCCATTTTCCATTTGTGCGTGCACAACCCATAGCTCAGCATCACTCACTCATCGATTCGTTCATTCATTCCATTTAAGCCCAGTTTTGTTGGTTTTCTTTTGCGGACATTGTTCTACAAATTGATGTTGGCCAGGAGCAGGGAAAAAAGTTAATAGGGCCAGCGAATAGTCGACATGAACCGCAGAAAAAAGATCCTTTATAGTATCATATATATATAGTCTTGAGCTTCATTTTAAACAATAAACTTATATTGAAATGTAATCATTTGTAGGTGAAAATATTTATAGAATACGAAATTAACTTTTGTGAGTAAATATATTTAAGGATGCCAAAAATGTATTGTTTTTTTGTTCCATAGATATTGTTCTATTCTTACTACGAATTCATTTTCTTTTAATTTTTTTGTTTACTCAGATGAGTAACCTTGTTTAGTGGTTTCTTACCCTGCACTCCTCTGATTGATGCTTTGAGCCATTTAGAAGATTTTGGCGTACCGACCATATCCTGAACCTATCCCCTTAGACTTCCCATCTCGATTGAGTCCATGCATGATATTCCCAGCTGCCCTGTGGATTTCGGCCTTTGATTAATGATTCGACGAAGATGGTCAGCCATGTGCCATAAAAGTCAGCGGATAAATGGAATTAAACCCAGTTATGGCCGAAGTGCAATGCCACTCAATTAGACGCGTGGCAAATGAATTTATCTACATTATCGGAATTATCTGTCCCATTAAAATCCGACGCTGTTCTGGGCATTTGCTTTTTAACGAGAAACTATAGCCACATTGTTGTTCGCTGCTTATTCCTATTGTTATTGTTAGTGTTAGTGTTAGTGTTAGTGTTATTGTTATTGGTGTCGTCCTTGTCACCAGAGGAGCGAAAATAAGAAGAGGAAAGTGCGCGTCTTTTATGACTTCCGTTTGGCTAAAATGCCGCAACGGGGCCATGGCTGTGGTGCTAAATAAATTCGCGGCGAGGGGGTGGTGCAACTGCAGCTTGACTCCGCGCTCGAGTGCGCTTAACCCCCCGCCGAAATGCCACCCGGATAACCCACCCAGTGGACCACCCCACATACCACCCAACAGACCACCCAAAACCACCCACAATTGTCTGATTTGGCCACCGAAGGCAGCTGCTATCGCCGCGTTCTGTTTGCAAAATAAAACTAACAAACAAAATTGTAATGAAAAGCACAATAAACTGTCAGTTTAAATATGAAGACTCTGCTGTCTGTCACACTGGCCACGCCCCTAAGGCGTTTTCAACGCCCACAAAAGCAGCATCAGTGGTGCCCTACAATACAGTATACCCAGAATACCCATAGCGAAGTAGCTAAATCATATAAACCTAACCTGGTTAGTGAAAAACAAAGTCAGTAAATAAATTCCATTTAAATTGTGTTCATGTAGAGAAGGTTTAATAAATGATTTAATAGCATATCAACAGGTTTCTTATAATTTGCTCAACCTTTATTTATAGTATTGTCAGGTAAATATGAAGCTAAAAAGCCAACTCTAATTATTTCAAATTATGAGTAAGTTCGTGGCAAAACCTTTTCGGGTGGGGAAAACAGCCAAACGGCCACCTCGAAAGACCCTGCCACTTCGGTGTCTTCTTTGAGGCAGGAGCGAGTGACTGGCTCGGAGTCTGGATCGCAGTTGCAGTGGCAAGCAAGTCCGTTGAACGTCAAGTGGCGAGCGTTGAAAGGAGCAGCTGCGTATACGTAATGCCCCACAAAGTCCTCGTTGTGCGCCTTTGTGCGAACCTGTCGCTACTTAGCGAAATGCGAATAGCGCACTGCCAGCTGGGGGAGAAACTCCACCCCCTCTTGCCACCCCCTCTTGCCACCCCCTCGCATCCACAACCCCGAAAGGCGGCGCCTTAACAATGTGCTGGGAAATCGTTTGGGGTCACTCGTGGAAAATCTTTCACCAGCGCGAACAATGCGGGGCAACTATTTGCTGTGAAGAGAATCCATAATGAATGCACTCACTCGACTGAGGTGAGTTCCCCACACGTGGAGGGGGTTGAACCAGGTGTGGGAGTTGGAGGAGGGTCCTTCCCTCCGGGCTTGCCCCCTCATTTAGCCGGGTTCCTTCAGGGTTAAGTCGGTTGTGCCGGGGATTTAACCAGTGGTCGCGAGTGTGGTTAGAGTGCGCACGAGCTGAGCCCACTCCAACGGAATTAATTTGGCTAAATGAGGGGAATATTATAATAATAACAGTCTATTTACACGTTGTGTTCTGCCAAACAAATTCCACACTCCACCGAATGAGTCTGTTCCGGTTAAATAAGTAGCATTAAAAGGATTGCACTCTGCTAAAGTCGAATTCAACTAATACGTCATTGCTACAAAATTAAAGCAGGTAATATTTAAATAACATGCCTGAAAGGAAAGCCAATAATCTTTATCAAATACCAGCAAAATTAACAAGAAATAACTCAAAAGATTATGGTTTTAACTGCAAGCGTACATATGTATAAATTCAATCATACTTGGAATACGAGTATTCATTAAATTAAATTAATTACTTTTTGGTAGGAAATGTGGTTGTAGTTGTTCATACTATAAATACGTGAAGGAATGCATGTAACCTTTTCGTTGGGATGCAATTATGGAATTGAGGGCGTAAAGTGGGCGTGCAGCATTTCTGAATTAATTTGCAGCGCGAATGGAATCTCTTTGGCAATCATGATCATATTTGTTACCCCTTTTTATCCGCGACTAGTGAGTTAAATTATTATAATACAAATTATTATAATATATATATACTTACTAACTAAGTTACTAACGACGTTCATGTACTTGCGACTTTAAGACCAGCCAATAAATTCCTTTCCGTTTCACAGGCTTTTACCTGCAACAACCGGGCATTGTTGAATAATTATATCACACTATATCCCCTCGTTATCAGAATGGCCGAACAGCCCTCAAATTGATTCAAGCAAAACTAATTTCGCTCGTTGAAAGCCCTGCAGAGTGATGACATTCTGCGTTCATTCCGGACTCGGAAACGTTAACAATGCAAACTTATCCTTCTGTCCTGCCGGCCAGGACCTCTCCAGGATCTAAGCCATCCCAGCTGCATAGTTTGCAGCCAGCAGCGGGCAGCGGCGCAGTCTGTCGCAGTTCTGCCGTAAAAGTCAAATAAAATGCAATATAATAACAATAACTGTGGCAACAACAGTAATAACAGGGCACAGAAAGTGGGCAAGGATGTTAGGTGGGTGGTTGGGTGGTTGGGTGTTTCCAGTGCTGGCGACAATGGCTGAGTCGAAATAATTAAATGGCATCAACAAACAACGGCAACAATGGTCGCCCGAACAGAGTAGAATTACTAAACAACATTCAGGGAACTAAAAGTTATGAACTTGCCACGAACGAGGCAACATTGTGGCGCACTTTTTCGGAAACTGCAATTATAATTATCCAAATAATTGCAGATTTAATTGAAAATGCTTCAATGTTCCCATACTCTGGAACAACTTTTCTTTAAATGTAATTTCTTTTACTATATATTTTGCGTTACCATCAGAAATAAATATTTATAAAAATAGTTAATGAACATTTTTGAGAGCAAAAACTTTACTTGAGTGGAAGTAGAGGTA